ACTTCACGTCCGCCTTGTACTTTCCTTTATGTACTGTATGTTCCTACTATCCGTGCTGTATACTGTTTAGTACCTACTATCCAGTAGGCGCACACAGTAGGCAGATATTTGTTCTGATTCATTCAGTAAGGAAGTGGCGTCATTTACGTTACCCGAACCGGCCGCATCCACCCGTTTTTCTTTTTTGTTTAGCTTTATTCAAGAAGAGTAATGCTCATATACAGTCAGGTAAACAAAAAACAATATCACAAGTAAAAGACAGATTAAATAACTAAATAACATACAGTACATAAAGGAAAGGACAAATGAAAGACAATAATATACAGAATATAAAGTAAAATAAACAAATAAAGACACATTTAAATAGTGAAATCATTATTTAAATAGAGGGAGAAAGGTTTTATAATAATGCAGACATTTGTTTTATTTTCTGTTGTTAATTAAAAGTAGCGATTTCAGTCGGGACTTCTCTCACAGCATTGTGGGTGGTAAAATACAATTCATTCATCAGCACGCATCCGATCCATACTGAAATGTTCTGTATACTGAGGTGGACCCAAAAAATGCATGCTGAATGACCACGAAAGTTCAGTATACTGAAACTCCCTACTGAAAAGTACGTACTGCCTACTGAACTGTGGCTATTTGGAAAGGGCCAGTGACTGATTCGTTCACTGAACATACTGAACGAGAGCTCCGCCTCCGAGTCACTCTCTTCCTCTCAGTCAGACACTCAGTGAGTGATTTGTGTACTGAACGTACTGAACAGAACGGTCGGGGAAAATGTGATTGTTTTAGCAGCTTTCAGTTTGCAAACTGTAGCTTTATCCAACTAAATTCTGAGCTCATTAGTTTATTATTCACCACCGGCTGTTCTCAGTACGATCGCGAGCAGAACTAAACGTTCGGCCGTGTTTCAGCTTATTAAATTCTGATTCACAGACAGAGCTGCTGAGAAGTACTGAACGATTCGGTGAACGAATCTTTTGAACGAATCACTTTACTGAACTGATTCTACTGATTCAGTACACTGAAAAGAACTGCTTTTCACATCACTATTTCCAACATTTGACCAGTAAAGAATTCTGTGTTGTTTACATTGAACCTTTTTGACTTAAAAAGTTGTTTTTTTAAATGAACAAAATTTGGCATTTAAGAAAAGTCTAGCTATAAATACCAAACAGTATTTTAATTTTTAGAGGGACATTTGCATAATTTCTATTTGATCCTGACAGCAACATGAATTGAGTAGTTAGTGCTATAGCCTATCCCGTTGCCCCAGTAACATGTGACTTAAAGGAAGAAAAGTGTTTTTTTTTGCAAATTTCAACTTTTATTTTAATATTGATACATTTTCTAATAATATGAGTACTGTATTAAGTTTATTAAAGGGCCTAACTTGTTAAACAAACCACAAGAAATACATGTATATAGTGGCTGAACTCATACGTCTGTTTGCCACTCGTCAACTTTCCCCAAACAAGCAAATGTCTTCTGTTTATTCTAATAAGGCGCACAGGGCTGAAAGAGAAGCATTAACTCGGTACAGTTCTGCAGGACCACTCAGTCTGTATTTATTATTGTAATATGGAGGACAGGCGTTTCTAATGTCTGTGTGTGTATGCGTGTGTGCGTGCGTGCGTGCGTGTGTGTCCTGGTTTCAGGCTGTGAGCACACATGCTGGATTGAGAAGTAGGTCTTTTGCAGAGCGGCACAGCCAGCCTCACATGGTTTTAATGCTTCCTGCTCGTTGCTTTATGGGTCTACATTAAATGGAACCACATGCTATCAACACACATGTGGAGGAAAAATTTGGCCACGAAAAAAAAAATGCTGTACCCATTAAGTTCGACACATGACAGGGGAAATCGATGAATTAATCAATGGAAATGCAGGCATTACTGCTGCAGCCGTTAAAGGCTCCTAAAAGCCCTGTTAGGCTGAAAGGTCTCTCTGTGCCTGCAGGGTTTGACAGGCAGGACTCATTTTTAGGATTTACGTCAGAAGCGGAGTTTCTGCACAAGACGGGTGTGGTTCAGTGACAAGTGACAGGCTGGACGATGCAGGTGTCTCGTATGTTGCATGAGTCACAGTCTGCGTCCTCGTCCACACAGACACCCTAACCGAGCAGCTACGGGTTTGTGTTTCTTACGAGCACCCACCAAAGACATGAGTCCTGCTCAGTTAGCACACTTCCTGCTTGTGCAAGCATGTTTAAGTGCCTACTCACACATATACACACACCATCAGATTTGTGCATATCCCGGAGCAGCAGTCCAAATGCAATATCATGACTTGCTCAGGACAAGTTTTTTTATTATTATTATTATTAGAAGTGTCCCTGTGAGTGTTTTCCATTTGAGCAGAACTTGTTTCTACTTTACATGGAAAATATCAAACTGAATCAGAAATATAAGGACAGGGCTGAAGTTTGGGACAGTTGATGATTGTACAAACATTTATAGCATAAAGACTGGAAACCCTGGAAAACATTTAACCAGGCTTTGTCCAAATGTAACATAATCAGCCAACCAGGACCTTTAAAAGTAATTAATGCGTACATTTAATCTTATTTGATTCAACCATAGAACCAATGAAATATAAACACAACCTCTGATCTCAACATGACTAACATACTACATTAAATGGGGCATAGCAGAACTACATTACCAATAGACATTCATCCTTCTCCTCCAATTGTTAAGAAAAAAGACATTTCAATAGCTTATTTCAATTAAAGATTTACAATTTTATTGTGTGACAGAAATAATTAGATAAATACAGCATTCACATGAGCAAATACAGAGCTACTCTGTTTTTCAGAATTACGAGATAAAGTAACTCGTTCTGAGATATTTATTAGATCGTTTCTGTTTCTGTGAGTCAATACGCCTCTATAGAAACATACTTAGTCTCTGTGCAGGGTTGATTTCAGTAAGTAATGCTAAACATGCTAAAGCTAACTGGACAAATGATCCTATAGCTCTGTGATTTCATGAACGAAATAACGATGATATTGAGGTTGAAAGCATGCAGCCTTAGTTCTGTTTTCCAACCTATAGAAGACCCTGAGGTCTGACAGGTCGTACGCAAGTTAAAACAGAAGAAAAATGTGTGACGGAACAAATGATCTCTCGTCTCTCTGCTTGGCTTCTTATCAATTATCACATTGTCAACTCAGTCCAGATAAATTATGAGATACAGCTATCATTGCACTCCACTGTACCCTAAGGACGAGATTTCACTAACTTAGCAGTGAAAGACTGATGGTTTAAAATATATCCATCAGCAGCATCAGCAGTAAATCTTCATCATGTTTATGGCCTGCGAGTGTCGAGGGAGCAGGGGGGCAAGAATGTTTCCGTCAAAAATCCCTTGGCTCGCCATTTTCCTGCTGTGTCTCTGCTGTGGAGTCTGACAAAGAAGCAAAAGTCTTTGGCAGACCATTCTTTAATGCAAATACGAACAAATAAAATGCAGGGGGAAACATCCATATCTTTCTGTTCCTTTCACTCCAATTCATTGTTTTGACCAATTAAACTTGACATGTATCTCCTCCTCTGTGCCGGGCAGAACTTTAGTCCAAGGAAACGCAGACTCGCCTGTTCTCCAGTAGACTGGTACTGCAGAGCCAGAGAGCCCTGGCAGATCCAACTTTTCAGACATTTGCCTGCATGAGTGTGAGCTATAAATGTAAAGTAGCTGGCTGTCTTTAATGCAGAGTGCCATTCACCAAACCAGCTTCCTACATAATGTTGCTCTAAAGGGTGGTTGCTTTTAAACTTTCATACTAAGCCAAATGCTAAATGTAAATATGTTAGGGCTAATTATCTTCTGAAGTTATCCTTAAGATTAAAATGCTATAAAATCTCATATATTACATATAATATATGAGTGAGCCTCTTTGCTTTGACTTTTTTGCAAAGCTTGTGAACTTGAAGTCTGAAAAATAACTGAGATTCCAATAATTAAAACTTGAAAAATAATAATAAGCATTGCAAATTCTTTATAATTCATGATTATATTGTTGTTCTTATGATTGCAGTATTTAGGTGATATGATTGGATTCAGTGTGACATTCACAGTTGATAAAAGCCCTATACCGCATGAGTTTCTGGGGCTGAGGTGAGACCACCTCTGGAGATAAGTACCACCACTTCCCTCACTGTTGTCCACAAAAATGTTCATTAGAATTTCAAATTATACAGAAGATGCAAATTAAGTGCTCTAAAATTGTAACATACAAACACCAGGCAGGATAAGCACCGTGCAATCTAACTGTTAAGGCTTATTGCACAGATAATGGTTTAGGAAACTGCTGATTTAGTGTGATTATGTGCAGCAGGCAGGTGGAGTTTGATTTGATTCACGAGGAAAAGAAGTAAATCTTAAATCCATGTTAGCGTGGTTGTGTGTCTGAATCTAGCTGCCCCAACTTTGTGTTTTCATGTGACTGATCATAGTTTAAACCGAGATTCTTTTAAGATACTTCTTTTTTTTTTTTTTGGGCTTCTTGTGCCTTTAATGGAGAGATAGGACAGTGGATAGAGTCGGAAACCAGGGAGAGAGAGCGGGGAATGACATGCGGGAAGGAGGCCACAGGCGGGATGCGAGCCGGGGCCGCCAGCGTGAGACGACAGCCTCAATACATAGGGCACGCTCCCTAACCATTGCGTCACCAGCGCGCCCCATATGATACTTCTTTTAACTAAAAGAATGTTTCTCTGTCAGAAAAATGCTGAGTTGCCACATGAATATGAGGGAGGGGAGCGTGCATCTGTGTGGCTGTGCCACACTCACTCTCAATCTGTCAGTCAGCGGCCTGGAGCGCTGTAGACTTAGAGAAATGTCTTCAAGTTACAACTGAGACGCAATATTTCACCAGCAGCACAACATACTCAACAAGATGTCTGACACAGTTTGATACGGTAGTGACGCAAATGAGGGGAGCTGGAGTCATAATAAGGCGCCCACATGACAAAGCACTCCCGCTGCAGCTGTAAATCACTTCTATTTTTAATCAGACAAAGAAGAAAAATGAATTTCCCGTGCCAACAACTGCACATTTAATTCATTAACGGAGTTCTTACAGTAGGGCAACAAATACAGAGCTGCATTTAAAAAGTCATTTCTCATTACATTAAACATAAAACTAAAGCTGTCGTTTGAAATCGGCCCTGTCCCATTTTCTCTGTGGTATTTGGGCTTTGTGAGGGATAAAAGCAGCTGGTGAAAATTGATGGGGGATAATGGAGCAGTTGGCTGAAGGTGCAGAGAAGCAAAAAGAAACACATCAGATCTAAATCCCTCCTCTCCAACTCAAATAAGGCCGGGGGTTTTATGCCAGAGTTACACTTGCCACAACAATCCAAGCCCTTTATAGCTTACATATGCACAAAACATATTATGACTTGGCTCTTTGGATGCTAGGGGGCTAATACAGTCAATGTGAAAATATTACCTTTCAGAGAGAAATAAACCGTGAAGGGCCGACAAGGGAGCAGCTTTCTTACTTTTATCTGACTTGCTTCGCCCACCTCATGGACTTCTTGGTCGTCAAAAGGAGGCCAGTAGCCCTGTGTTCTGTTGCTGTTGGCTGCATGTTCAATCCGCCCACAGGTCAGTCAGGATCAGTTTGGACTGGTGGGTCAGTCGTTAAGACTTGACCTCAGCCCAGCTCCACACAGCTGAGAAGACACCCTGCCAAAACCAAGTTTTAGTCCAAGTTCGAACCCTCATTTCCTATTTTTAAAAAAAGGGACCAAAGCAGTGTCTCTTACGCCCTTAAACAGAGGAGGATAAATTCATGCAACAGTTTGTCTAGACGGGACTCTACAGGATCAAGTTTTAATCAAGTTGAATAATATTTCCAGAATACTCTTGGCTGAGAGTTGGTTCACCAGATGGTTTGCTACTGTGTAATCCCTACCTACAGATTCTGCATAACATTTTTAAATTTGTTGGTATAGGACCAGATTTTGGTATGAGAAGTGTTCTGACTTACCTTTAGCAGTCTAATTCACCGTCCACCACTGTTTTAGCTGGCATTTGCTATATGCTGGAACACAATCCATGTGGCCATGCAAATTGCCGTAAAACAATCCCAGAACTTTCCGGCAGTCATCTGACAATAATTTGGTGCAATTCATTTCCTTAAACAGATACCAGATAACAGTTCCGTCTTGTATGTTGTTTCTCAACACCAATTAGCTTCTTGGTGCTCAAGTCCCTGGTCTGACTGTAAACAAAGGCAACACATGAAAAAGGAAGTAGTTGAAAAGTTGGTTTTTGCTTACGTGATAGTTGGCAGTATCTTATAAAGGCTAAAAAATATTTACAGGATGGCTCTAAAGCCTTAAAAACCAGCAAAAAATTTGATGTCAGTTAATGTTAGCTTTCTTTCTGCCGCTGCTAACTTAATTGCCTCCACTGACCTAACCCTGGAATCTATCAGTGACCATTTCTGCAGCCAGGTGTCTGAAATAGCCTCTTCATGTCGGCAACACGGCCTTTGATACACAGTTGAGAGTTATGTGCACAATTTGACAATGACTGCAACATCAATTAGAGCTAGATGCTGCAGATCTGTGCGCACTGAAAAGACTTGGCCTGGGTGAAAGTTTGCCGGAGTGGGACTTCTCTGATTGGTGGGTCAGTGGACCAATCAGTGAGCCAACAAAGGGTCAAGTGGTACAGAGATTTTTTTTAATCATTATTACTCTTATGTTAATTCATAGAAATGCATTAGTGGTGAATATAGCCTGCTGTAATTGCACATTGGCATACGTGCTGGTGTAATTGTGCATAGCCCTATTGCACAAAATGTTCATAAACAGAAATGTGTATGCAGATACTATTGTACAATATAAGTATATATAAATGTGTATTAGCATACTGTACAGAGTGACAAAATCCTCTTCTTAAAGTCTATGCCTCAAACTAAATGAAATGCAATTGCTCCTGTTCTTCTGGAGCAGGTAGTCTTGGAGGTATTGCAATTATTTTACATCACCAACAGATTGAGTCAAGATGGAAATCTACTGCCAGATTGCTCATTTAACAAAAACAGTCAAAATCAAGGTGGTCAAATATGTTGTTTCCCTGTGAGTCAGCCTACACAAGCGACCTGGCCTGAATCAGCTGTAAAGACACACTCTACATGACTGACCTGCTTTTAGGGAATAACATCCTGGAATGTGGCAGCTACACTGACAAACTGCTGTGTATGTTTCACCAGATCACAGAGCTTCATCCCGACCAAGTTCAGACACTTTTAAACTCCAACAGATCCTTTACATACGGCAGATTCATGTTCAGTATCTCTGGCTCAGTCATGGGATATTCAGCAAAAAGTGTTTTTTTTTTGTGAAAGATGCAATGATTATTGATTGAACGATTGTTTCCTGGCAGTGTCTTCTTGACCACAGCTTGTATGTTTATAAAAAAAAAACCTAAACAGATTTTCCCTATTTTTAAAGGACATTCTTGAATCTTTCTTTCTTTTTCTTTTTTTTTTAAAGATTTATTTTTGGGCTTTTCGTGCCTTTAAATGCAGAGAGAGGACAGTGTATGGAGTCGGAAACCAGGGAGAGAGAGTGGGGAATGACATGTGGAAGGGGGCCACGGGTGGAGGCAAACCTGGGCCCACCGCTTGAGACGAGAGTCTCAATGCATGGGACGTGCACCCTAACCATTGCGCCACCAGCGCGCCCCGACATTCTTGACTCTTGACCCCGTTCTTCCAATGTTTTTATTTTGTGCACTAATGTCACTGTGTTTATGTTATATACTGTATACAGTAATGGTACATTGTTTGTGTGTGTGTTTTTGCATGTTTCTACAGTGAAGAATTACACTGTTATTTGATTAGAGCAACAAACTTAAATTGTGATTAGAGATTTTAAAAAGGGTATTACACCATAATGCAACGTCTAAGGGCAATGCTGTAAGCTGTTTTTTTCCTAATGTTTGTAGTTGGCATTAAGTCTATTTTTCAAATAACATGATACGAGGCACGGATATCAGTAATAAGATTTATCTTTTTGGTCAATGTTATACATTAAACTGCACAAAAATCAACTAGAACCAAACAGAGAATCTCTCCGCGGTCTCGTGTTCAAGTTTTCTTTTAATGCCAGCTAAAATCAAGCCTTTTGACCTGATGTTATTAATGCAAAGCAACAGTTATATCAATTACTTACCACACTTACATGCTGTTGTACATCTCTGAGCTGCAGAATGCAGATGTGCATTATTTTATTATGTTGTACATAAGTGCAACTGTGCAATTTCCTTCACTGTAACAAGTCATGGCAAGAGTGTTTGGTGTGGCGCTGCAAATACGCCCACTCAGCAGGGTTTGCAGCTTTTCTGTGTATGTGTCCTAGAGTTATTGTGTGTGTGTGAGTGTGTGTGTGTGTGTGTGCGTGTGTGTGTGTACAAGTTGAGACAAGGGCATCTAAACACAGCCTGTTTACCCACAGCTGTGTTGAGCAACAGTTCAGAGATGTGTGGGGTGTGTGTGCGTGTTTGTGAGTATGTGTGTTTCGGAGAGTTTCCTCACTTGCCCGAGGCAAGACAGCGGCTGCAGAAAACAAGAAGCGCTGTCAGCATGTGTCACGGCAGACGAGTCTGACTCACAAGTCTGCCATCAACAGGAGCCTTTAGGCACTCTGAGTGATGATACATTTTCCAATCAATTCACAGGCCGCTCTGAATTTTTCAAAGATTTCCATCAAATGCATGAAGAGCTTCTGGATCACCATTTAGCTCTTCAGCAGGGGGAATCTTTCATAAGTTGAAGTGGTTTTCACTTTGGATCCCTGAGCAGAAAATATAATAGGGTAAAATGTGAGGAATTTTCCTACCTTTCATTTCCAGACACTTTCAGTCCTACACACAACTGTAGAGCTGAGACTGAAACTGTATCTGCACTCGTCCTCTTTCAGATGTCACACAGGAGGTATGAAGTTTGACGTGCTGGAAAACAAAGATGGACGCACGGATGTTAACTCTCTCGATCCTAATATGGCAACCTACTTCACATGGCATGTCTCTGCCAGTAAGGAAGAGTGAGGAAGGAAATGTCAGTCAGTGGAAAGAGGTCCATCTCTAAAAGGTCAGAGGTCGACACTTCATTGAAGAGGTAATGTCAGACTGAAGATGGAAAAAGAAGATGTGGGAGTGTGAAAGGGGACTGAAAGAAAGTGAATGAGTGAGTCAGGGAGGAACTGGATTAGTGGCTGGGTGAAACCTTTTTTGACCAATTCAGGTGGGAAAAATTAACTTAAAGCTCCTGTGAGGAACTTTTTTTTGACTTCTCTTTTTGCTGATGTTGTCCTGTAAATGTGTAGGCTGTATTTTTAACATCCTGCTTTTTTTTAACAGCCAACGATATAACTAATAATGAACGCCATGCAGAATGTAAACAAATACGATTTCTGCAGCAAGTTGTTTATAACTTCAGCTGACACCAACCCCCCAGCAGCAGCTTTGGCATTTATTATAACATATGGAAATAATCTGTCTTGTTGCTGATGGTTCTTTTTGCTTCTATTGGCCATAAAGCAATATCACCATTCATTTCAATTTGTTTGATTACCATCTTAAAACTCCTCATAGGAGCTTTAATTTTATATTTTTATGCATAATTATGGAGATATTATTCTAGCAAAACTGTTTGTAAATGTTTTAACAGATCCACAAATTTGTGCAAACATTCACCAGTGGTTCTCCCAGAAAATTGTTTAAATTAAAAGGGGGGGGGCACATTCTTTAATTATATGAGATATTTTAAAGCTATTTTTGACAGAAATAAAGATTTAAAATTCCCTAAAAATGTGTTCATCATTAGGGAAATAAATATGAAACTCACCGCCCACATTCACCCGGACATATGACACCACGCATTTTGTCTTCTGTTGCTGGGATTGGACCATTGATATCTAATATTTTCCTAAGCAACTTTTTAACAGATTTTCTCCCCAATTATCTCATAATACCCCTTGTTATTACATTAATTGAAATGAACTGGCCTAAATTCACGACAACAGGTGACCAACAAGTCACTGGGCAGATAAGAGTAAGCCACCGTAAGCCTGTTAGCCCAAGCTCAGGGCAATAAAAACAAACATTGGCACACACATTTGTGCATCGCTTTAACCATTTATGGACCACGTGCACTTGTGGATCTGTGTACCTATTTGTGGCTCTTGCACATGCAGAAGTGTAGCAAAAGTCACAAGTAAACAGACTGAGTTAGTGAGTGGGTAACTGATTGCATGGCTGAGTGAAACTGAGTGACTTTGAAAAATTAAGTAAGGATCAGAGACAGAAGAAGGACGAAGAGGACACATAAGTTTGAGTTTCCATGTAAGTTTGAGTTCTTGTAACCAGCAAACGTAAGAAATTCCTTATTATATAGCTGCTGTGAGTATCCCAGGTTACAATGTATATGAATGTTTGTGTTTTAATACATTTAGACCATATGTTCTTGAAACACAGCTTCCTGAGAGAAGTATGAACTTCCCCACACAATAGGCCCCGTGAATGCCTCACCCAGGATGCTCAACAAGTTGGAAACACATGTATGGCTTTGACGCTGCAGAAAGAAACACATGGACAGCAGTTTGTACCCCTGGAAACGAGCCGAGCCAGGAAATGGGTTTGTCATCAGGCCGCTGCAAAAGGTACTCTGTGTAGTTGATCTCCTGACTTCTGGAGAAAAAACTGCTCCACCTGAAGTCTGCACAGCCGAGCTTCTCCTTTGACCGGAGCTTAATTTTGTCTTCAGGACTCTGCAGAGAGAAACAAAATGGGGCGGGGGGCATGAAATGTTGATTACTTTTGACAGAGGCACTGTCAGTGGTTATAGATCCTACATGTAACATTGTACCCAGTGAATTTTTTTTTTTTTGGCAAAGCTCAGTCTGAATGTACAGATCATACTGTTTGAATTATTTCACTTCCAGTCAGCAGCGACTCTCCTAAAACTAAAGACAAACAAATTCTGCTCACACTTTTGTCTAACCCACTTTATTCAGCATCTAAAAGTAAAATACCAAAAGTTGATTCATAGTTTATACCACCATGGTTTATGCACTAAAACACATAACTAGTATATAAACAGTTTTAGCGACAATACGTCACATCTGCTGCACAGAGGGTCATGCAGCAGCTGACAACTGTGTGATACTTGAATGGATCAGTAACCTGGACCACAGCAGGAACTTAAAGGCACCAGAGGCACATCGTTGGAAATGCCTGAAAGAAATCCTCAAAAATCAGATTGGAAGATGGACCCAACAGCAGCAACATCCTGAGTGAAGACAACATCCCTACCATCACTGCCCTCAACCAACACCAGATGTGATGGACCAGGCCATGTCATACAAAGTCCTGACTTTCACCTCCTAAACTCATCCTAAAGTCCCAACTGCCTCATATGTTTTAGGACGAATTAAGATAGGGCACATGGTCAAGACTTGAGAATACAATACTCAAGTTGGACTTCAGGAGCTCTGAATACTTTTAAAATAACAATTCAAAACAGTAAAATTTGGTTTTAAATTGTAAAATGTAATCAGAAAAGTAGGACCTTGCAAACTCTTCAATTTAACAACAAATAATGAGTATAATAAGCATAAGAACTTGGGGTGGCTGTGTGGTTCAGTGGTAGAGTCCATCTACTCTCAAACTGAAAGGTCGGTGGTTCGATCCCCACGTACTGCAGTTTCATGTGTTGATGTGTCCTTGGGCAAGACACTTAATCCCAAGTTTCTCCCGCTGCTTCGTCTGCAGCGTATGAATGTGATTAGTTAATGCTATTGGACAGTTTACATATTTATCTCAGGGTGTGAATGGCTAGAAAAGCGTTATACAAGCTCAAGTCCATTTACCATAAATACTTTATTATGCACACAGTAACTGTGTATTAGGTGAATGTCACTTAAGATATTTACTGTATATTCAACAGTTGAAAAAAGTGTCAACATGCATCAACATACAAATTGTTTGAAACATACCTATAGATCATTGTTAACACAAAACAAAACTATGGGAGTGATTTATTTTGACTTCTGACACATTCAATTGGACAATTTTAGAAATTATACAAAAAAAGTCAAAATGACTGTTTGCCAGGAACAGCCCAGACTGTATGAATGGTTGTTTCAACATTGTTTGTAGTAAAAAGAAAAAGATTAATTATTAGTTATTATAGCGTAATCTCTGTTAGTCACTCTAATAGCCTTTAAAAATAAAGGTTCATCACATTGGCTTAAGCACAAGCATGTCAAACATAAACTCGAGCTTAAGGTTTTTGACACACGCAGACACACAGACTCACTGAAGCCGGGGGAATTCCTTAAATAACATTGAGGCCAAGGCAGACATGGGTGGTCCACACTTGTCATTATATCCCTGCAGGCTAGAAGGCAAACACAAAGCACCATGAGAAACACAACCTCCCCTGATGACTGGGAGTAAGAGCAGCTCTAAATCTGACAGAAGACAAGCCATGAACTCTGAGTGCAGCACAAACTACCTGGAGATGAAGGTTCGGTCCATAAAGCAGTCAGCGATTAAACTAGCTGTCGGGCAGAGAGGACACTTCATTGTGAGAATATAATGTGGAGAATAAATCCTTCTGTCACTGAAGAGGAAGTCACATGATGTTTGTTCTTCCTACATCGAGGGACGATCATCTGGTGTAATTGCAGGGTGATAAATATTGTGTTACTGTGGCGAGCTGCCGTCATGTTGACATTAATCTGAAACTGTTGAATTGATTTTATTTTTTCTAGAGCTACCTGTGCACAGCTAACACTCAAATCCAAACCGCAGTCCTAAGCAAACACCCTGAGCAAACAGGCCGGGCTGATTCAGGACCCGAGAGTGGGACTTGTTTATGCTTCATACTCACAGAGAGCGGGTCAAAGGGCAGGGCCTTTTCTCCTTAAGTGTAGAGATGAATGCATCTCAATGGAGATAAATGGGAAAAGAAACAAACAGCTCTTATCTCCGTACTCTACCCCTGCTGTGACCTTTTCCTGTCTTCTTCGGCTCACTCAGATGGCCATGTTTGCTCCTCGGCTCTCCATGTGACCACTGTACACTTTGTTTAGTCAATAAATAACACTGAGAATCGACGTACTGACACAAAGCACAGATTGTATCTACGTCCACGTTTCATTTTTCTCAGGGTTGAAACTGTTGACAATCCCACTCCCTGATATTTGTCTGACATCTGTGAGTCATGTGCACCATCCATTTCTGCAGCAGCGTCACGACTATTGACCGTCTGCACCAAAAGTCGATTTTTAACGATATTTCATGCATTCATGTTGTCTCTGCAAATGTACCTAAGCAGATTATGGATCCACAGATATACAGATAACGACATATACTGTACATCTGCACGACTGAGCATGCCACTAAACACTGTTATCCACATATCTGACGGTTACACATTAAACAAAAGCCAGTCCTGTGTTTACCTATTGACTGGTCACACAAAGCTGTAAGGAAGTGAAAATGTCAGAGGAAGCATGTGCAGGTGAATCACTGATTACAGCTCCGAGTGGATGAGCTGCTAACATGCGAGGCTAACAGCTGTGCTGCCTCGGGGAGGTTTCAGTGCGGAGGTCACAGAGTGTGAAGGCTGCATCAAGACACACACCATCTTCTCTGTGACAAAGGTTTAGACTAGTAAAATTGTGGAAAACTTGTGCAGAGCCAATGTGTCATGACGGCCATGCTTAATCAATGTACAGCTGTGTATCTAATTAAAAACAGGCAAGATTAAAAACTGGTCCAAAAGAATCATGAACACAGCAGGCGGCAAATGTCTGAAAATAGACAACAGGTTTTCATCCAGAGGGGCGAAAGGACCAATTTGCCGTTTGTTGTCAAGCAAAATGGCACTTTAAAAGAAATACAACAGAACATAAAGTTTTGACCCAATGCAGATTAAATTAATAAAGGCCTACAAAACGAATAGAACATATGGTGATAAAATGATTCTTCCCCCGATTCCTGTGAATTTAAACTTGATTTCAATATTTCTTTCTCAAGATCCAGTGTTCTTGGCTCGCTAGTTTAGCTCAGTTTGGTAGAGCAGGTGTGCCACAGACACTCATCGTACTAGTCTCAGGTTTCACTTCCTGATGCAGTTAATGTCATTCCTGTACTCTGACTTCCCCCATTTCGAGCCCTATTCTATTTTCACATTTTGGTATTTAGGCAGCACACTATAAGGGTACCATACAAAATGCCCTTTAATATCCACTAGA